TTGCCTAGCATCGACATGATGTCTGTGCCAAGACTTAGATTCTTCATCATGCACCCAATGGTCCCTTTCAGGAACATCAGCAGGTGCTTCGGGGTCAGCAGCCGGATCGCTATTGGCATCACTAGGTTGATCAGTACCCGGATCAAAAGCATCGAGCTGGTTGTCCGGTTCGGCGGGGGCATCCGCGTTGGGAAGACCCTTTCCTTCTCCCGTGTCTAGGAGCTGGACTTCCCTAGTTAAACGCTCATAGGCAGCCAACATGGGAAAAACGTATCCCTCCTCGGGTTCTGCCAAATTCTTTTGACTTGGTGAACACTGGGTCGGGAAAATCCCGTTCCTGAAGTGTTCAAAGTCGGCAACGTAGTAGTCGCCTTTCCACTGACCTCCGGGCTATAATCGATAGCCTAGGAAAATTCCAGGCTTCGACACTGGCCCGAATTTGGGCGCCTTAGGAGCAGGGTCAACTTTCTGCGCCGGCATAGCGGGCACATTACTGAATTCGTCCTCTCCATGATCGGACGGCCCTGAATCATCAGCTAGTTCATCATCTCCTTCGGGCTCGTAATCAGAGTCCTCCAGAAGATCAAATTCTTTTGGCTTTACAGTGAAATATGTCTCGCCAGTCCACGGAGCTTTTAGCTCTTTAGCGGAATCTGGACCGTATCTCCAGTCTACGGAGTGCAACATTTCTCCATTTTCCTCATCATACTGAACCCATGTATCACGGTCAGCGGTGAGACGAATATGTTCGATTGGAGCATCAATGCTGTCGGCCTTGAACAGCTTAGTTCTTGGTTCAACATGCACTCTGACGAGTTTGCCAGATTCTTCATCAAAAATCCAGTGGTCTTTAGTGGGAATTTCGTCAGCTTTGTGATGATCGTCCCGTTCGGAAGCGTTTTTGAGCCCCCCCCTTTTCGAGCCTACGCGGTTTAGGCGCGATTGGCTTGAAATCGACAAGACATCCGAATGGGATGAGTTGACCGGGAAAATCCCTGTCACCGTTTCTTCTTCCCCAAGGGTACTCCTCAGACAAGCCGGCTTATCGCCCAAATGGTGGCCATTTGCCGTTCGCGCATTTTGCGCTGCCAGGGATCTCGAAAATCGAGGTGAAGGAACCGCATTGCCCCATGCAGTACAAGCTTCACTTTATTTTCGATAATGCCATTCGTCTTTGGCATTCCAGGTGTAGACATATGGTGCACCCAAGCCATTCGGCGAGTAGCCGCAAGAAACTCTCTGGCTTGGTCCGAGTATAACAGACCAATCTTGGGTTCCGGACCCATAAACTTGTGAAAGGCTTCTACCGTGTTAGGTACAGATCGACTAAATACGGGCAGTACATCTATGTACTTGGTCGCAAGGTCGTAAAACACGACTGCCTCGGCTTCACCATTTACACCACGGTCTTTTAAACCGTGCAACACCATTGTGTCTACAGTTACAATGTCACCGAATTTCGTGCATTCATGCGCGTCGGCACCGCCCCTGAGGTACAAACGCACGTTTTCCATCTTTGCGCGTTGGCAATGCGTGCAAAAAGGATTCTTTGGTAAATGTGTCATCATGTGTTGAAGCGTCTTAGCTTCGGCACGTACTTGGTCTTCAGTTCTGTACCCCTTGGGGTGCTTGATTTCAACAACTGCACCCCCCTCGTCAGGCGCGTCGGCCTCAGAGGGAGCTGCAGGGTACAGCGCATCATTCAGAGCAAGTACTGGCCCGGGCATTGCCGGCATCGCAGGACATGCGTCTAAGTTTGGGGCTCCAAACATGACTGGCCCCTTGGGCAGGTATGGGACGTTGTTTATAACGTCGAGCCTTACAGTTCTTCCGGATGGGCAGGTAAGAACAGGCATTTCAAAGGCATGGAAACTGTATCCAAAATCCACGCATCTACGTCCTATCGATATAATCGAGGGTGTATTACCCATGACGAAGGCTTCAATGTCCTCGTCAAGCGATTCAACAGTTGCATCGACCCTACCTTGGGTGCCAGCAACACCATTAGCGGTTTGCAATGAATGTTGGATACGCCCAGTCTTGATGTGACGATGATCTTGGGTGGGGATGTCGTGCATCCCTACCAAGTCGAAAGGACATCCAGTGTCAGCAAGCCACCGGATCCCGATGCGGGCATCTGATCAGGAATATTTTCCCTGATCATACGAATGCGACGGGCCCACCTATTGTCCGGCACATACTCACCTAGGTACAACTGTACAATTTGCCTAGTTGTGGCAGCTAGGATTCTAGCGTTCTCCTCGGACATTGCAATCACCTCGGGAGGTTGACACAGCCTATCCGGGTGAATAGGGTGAGAGTGCGACCGCCGATGCACGATCGGCCTAGACTCACCGCGTTTCCTAGTATTTTCAACCTGCAAAATTTCAGCATCATCATTGAAACTCAGCTCGCGAGCAGTAGGCCTAACCTGTACCACCCGTGCGAGCTCTGAGTTATACTGGCCGCACTTTCCGGGCAGACAATAGAAATCTGTCCTAATATCCATAGGCCCGGGAATCCGTCTGAATAGGACGGATTTGCGATTCGGTGCATTTACATCGACATCATCAATCAGAGCGTTGTCCGAGAGAAGAATTGTCCGTCTGCGAATAACAGCCCTGATATTCGGGCCGCCCGGACACGTGCCTTGCAGTGTTCGAGCGCCAATAGTGGTTTTTGACCACTCCATTGTCCCTTCCGGACGTCGAAGCCCAGCTCTGTCTATACTCTTCAAATGCCTTGGCTATGGGATGAGCAGGGCAGGCAACAAGCCCAATAACCTGAGGGTGACGGCTCGCCCCTCTCAAAAACCTGCTGACAAATCAGGGGCAGGACTGTATGTCCTGTCGTCGGCAGTGGTAGTAGGCTCAGCAGATTCGGGCTGCGCGTCGGCAGATTCGGTCGCTGGAGCCGCAGTGTGTTGACTTGCATCTTTCAGCAACTGCTCAGGTGGCTTTGCATGCTTGTAGTCACACTTATCCCTCAGGCACTTGCCATAGGAAATCCATTGGGCACAATACCCCGGAATTAGGGGAGGACGTTCCTTGCGTTTGGCATCGGAACTTCCAGTCCTAGTGTGTGCGAATTTGCACTCTTGTCCACGCGAGCAATACCCACGCGCGATCCCTGCATGCATCGATTGCAGGAGCACCGGGTGACGTAGACCTAGGCCTCCTCGGGGCGCCGCCCCTGGGACTAGGCGTGCGCCGCTTGTCCTGATCCCGATTCCTCGGAGAGTATCTATCCCTTCGATGCGGACTCGGGGTATTACCGGTCCTCTTCCTTTGATCACTAGGAGGCCGACTAGGCCTGTGAGAATCTCCAAATGGCGACCTGACAGGAGGGCCAGGAGCACCAGGTTTCTGGGCTCTGTCCCTGGACGGAGTTCGCTCGTAAAAATCCTTGTGCATATTAACTTGATTCCTACAAACCCTCCAGCGGTGGATCTCGTTCTTACAACGAGCGCGAAGCCACTCATAGCTACAAACATCAGGGTTGGATATGTTCCTATCCCATTCCCTGATATCATGCGCTAAACAGTTGAGGTGTCTAACCTTTTCACTGAATAACGACCGTTTTACCTGTTCGGTCAGCGGTTCATCGAGACCCGCAAGGATGTGGTCCCACTTCGCGATGAACCTCTCAAGTCGTTCCTCCTCTGCATAGAAAGTTGAAACACTACATCGCAAGTTCGAGAGCTCAATTATCCTAAATGATGGCGAGCCCGTGGTGTCCTTTTCCACGAGATCGCCGCGGCGCCGTGCGCGGGTAGCTGACGCTATGGCAAGATTAGGATGCCGTAAGGAAAAGCTTGAGCCAAACCGCATTGGGTATTGGCATGAAATAAACATGTTGTGATAAAAGTACATGCCCCAAAAAACACAAACAAATACCCGGCCTTTTTCAGGGTATCATGCCGACCCTCTACTAACAAAGGAGGTTGGAAAACCAGGTTTTCCTAAAAATACCTGAACAAAACGAGTATTTTGAGTAAGGGGCACAGAAACAGAATGGTATAGGCTGCTTGCAGTTTGCATCAATCTTCCATCTGTGGAAGATACACTCTCCAACAAGCATGGCACCTAACAGGTCGCAAGAGGAAATTGATCTTCCAGGTACCCTCCCGTGCTATGTTAGTTCAGCTTCCCTCGACAAGGGTGGTTTGGATTGGCAGCTTGGTTAGGAAGTGGCTCCTCAGATTACCCTCTACCACGGGTCAAATCCCCAAAACAACAATCCAAGCCACCAATTAGGACTACCCTGTGGGAAAATAACCCTTTCTGTCATTTACCCAATGCCATTCTTATAATATATCCTTATGCATACTTTTTCATTTTCACGCAGTTTCCTTACAGACAGTGGCCCGACAATCCTACTTCCCACGACTATAATTCCGAAACACGTCAAACAAAAACTAGAAAAATATGCGATCCATGTACTACGGCAAGGTGAGAAAATTTCGCCTGAGTCACCAGCGGGAACTGGAAGCACCGGGGCAGACCGAACCGTTGAATTTGAGGCCTCCCTGACAGCTGAGGCTTAAATGGTGCCCCTCTTCTCCCTCCAAAATGAGTGGTTTCGTGTTGGCTTCCCCAGAACGTGGCCAGGAAGAAAGACACGCGTGGTGAACCACCCCAATCCGCCCAAAGGCCTGGCGTTTAGAAAAACAAATCCATCTACGCCATTAGACTGCACCGTCCAAAATCGGTGAGGGGCTTAGTCATGTTAAATGGGCGCCTTGAAAAGTGCGAGAAACTCCGCTGCCAAATGGATAGCTGTAAATGAAAATCATGCCCCGGGCCACTCAAAGAAGGGAAACCACTTACCATCCTGCGTGAGGATTAATTGCCCAGAGTTTGAAATAGAACCCCAAAAGGGTTCGCCCGAGCCCAAAAGAAGTTTCCTCTATGGTGGGCTTCTTCGGGTGCCATGTCAATCTTGGGGGTACGTCCCTCCGCACCCCGCTGGTTAGGTCCGTTGTTTCGGATCCAAGCGTCCAGTCCATAATGCAGGCCACAAGCTTCTGATTGCTGGCGGCATTCAGCCCACTCCTTGGGAATAGGAAAGGTAGGACCAAATGTGTTCACTCACTTCCTAAACAAACGGCCCACCCTCAAGAAACCACACAATGGAACCTATGTGTTGGTTGGATTCCACTTCTGCCAAGAGCAGGGGCGCGGCAACAAACATCAAAATTAGAACGCCAAGCCAACCAGTTTGGCATGACGTGGGAAAAAAAGCCTTTGTTCTAGCTGTACTGTACCTTCCCAAAAACGCCCCCTCTTCAAACAAGTGGGAAATTCCCTAGGAAAACGGGTGGTTCTGGGGAATAAACCCTGAGAACTGTGCGTACAGGGTCCATCCCGTTGTCGGGGAAAGCCCATGTCAGGGAAAGATGTCAAGCCTACGGGGCTTCACTGCCACCCCTGCTCCATGCCCCCCCCACTCGAAAAAATGGCAAAGACAAAACAGGGGCTCCCTTGGTGTCCAAAACCCTCGAGCAGGACCCCAAAGAGACCTGCAAAATCCAAAGGACGCCTTTTTACATTGACAAACAAATCAGACCCATTAAGCAACATTGGCAATTAAACGGTGACTAGACTCCAGAATTGAAAGCTCAACAGTCCCAGCCTTCCGGAGTGAGTGGCCCAACCCCCCCCCCCCAGAAAGGTCTGAAAATGGGTTCCAACAAATTGCAACGCGGAAAAACACATGACCGCCCTGCGCAAGCGATCGGAACACGTGGAACGAGTCCCCTGAGCATTTGTCACTAGACTAGTCTACCCCCCCCCCCCACAAAAAATAAATAAACAATGATAATCAATAAGTAAATAAAAACTAAACACCCAGGAAGGGAGTCACGCAAGTGGGCCAACTTCATGGTTCCTTCCCTGTCTTCAAACGTCAGCTTTAATGTGTGCCCTTTTTTGTGTGTTTGAAGGGGAAACAGTTATTTTGGGGCTTCCCGTACACCGCCGCACTCACGAAAAAATCGGCAACCTCACGCTTCACCCAAATGAAATAGACCGAACACTTTTGAAATGTATGGCTTTTGAAAACCGATGGACCGAATTGAGAAGTCTGGCAAAGGCGGGGGAGGGGGGGAGGGTTCTGATTTCGCCAGGCCGCGCCCCGGAGAGCAAGGAGATCCTGGGAGCCAAGGAAAGCTATGCGCAAAAGGCGCATGAGTGAGGTTTTGGAGGAACCTTTTCAGTTGGTTTAAGGGGAAGCCAACGGAAAACTGCGCGGGTCCCCTATTTTGACACATGCGCCCACTTGTTTCTGCTTACATTTTCCGCGGCAGAACAAATCAGTTGCGATGGCTCTCCTTTTCAGGTTCTCGTTTGCCCCAGGGCCTAGGGTCCCAGGCTTGTGTTTCCTCTGCTTCTCAACGGCGCCCTGTGCCAGCCCCAATCCCCTAAATCAGCAAGGCCCGGGGGCTAGCTTTTGGGCCCGTGACGACCATGGGATGTATTTGAGAACGCTTGCAGGAAAAACAAAAACAAAAAAAGGCAAGCACCGAGATTCTGGCGCTTCTTGTTGTTTTTCTTTCAGAGGGCGCCTGGATCAGCCCCTTGGTTCCCCCGGTGGAACTCCACTGGAGCTTGGGCCAAAGCGCCAAACTTGCCCCCTACGTTCCTGACTGTGGGAAAACTGGGTTTTGGGTTGCTCTTTGCCGTGAGGGTACCTCTTTGAACTCTGTACTTCGACTTTGGCATGGCAGCAAGGGAGCTTGCTGCAATCAAGTGGGCGTACATGTGTCACAATAGGGGACCCGCACAGTGGTTTTCCTTTGGCTTCCCCTTAAACGCTCTGAGTGATTCGCTTCTTCGTTTTGCGGCGCACGTGTTCCTCCAGCAGAGCCAACACCGCCTTGTGGACAAGCAACAGCCAACCGAATTAACACCCATGGCATGGTGGGCTCCCCCCCAACCAACCAGACAAGGAAGCGGAAACCACACCGCTTCAAGTCCAAATTGTTCGCCCGGCGTTCGGCTGACGCCCGGCGCTCGGCTCGGTCCTGGGGACGCCCTCCTGCAGCACCCGCTTCAGGCCCAAGCCGCTGCTCGGTTGCTTGCGGAGCTGTGGCCTAGATCCGATCACCCCCCTCCACCTCCCCTGTCTTGTTTTGATCCTGGTTCCCAAGAGGGCGTAAGCGAAAAACAAAATGACAAAAGCCTGGGTTCTCGTGAACTGACTTCCGAAGTGGAGAAGGGCCCAAAAACAAGCCGGCCCCGGCCACTAGTAGTGGGTGGGTGCTCATGGATTTGGTTGTAAACGCGCCTCTGCCAGGCTCAAAGAACAATAAATCTTCCGCTAAAACGGTCTTCCCCAAAAGCGACTCAAGTCCAAAAACCCAGGGAGTGAGTGTCTTAAAGCGACTTCCTTTCGTTTGGGGAGAGGCTTGGCCCTCGGATTTCTTTCCATGCTTTGGATTACGCGCCTTTATATAACCCAAAATAGTCGGTTTCCATTTTGGCTTCCCGAAATGGTAAGGGGCCAAAAAGGCATGGCTGCATGAATTTCACTCGGCGGTTTGAAGAAGGGAAACCCACCCATTTGCCTCGGGTCCGGTAGCCTTGAGCCGGCCGATGCCGCTCCGAATCATTCCGCCAGAAATCGGAGGCAGTTTCTGACAAAGGGATACTCTTGACCGATATTCAAGGTCTGGGGTGTGGTTTCTGTGAAAATCTCATGAAACCTTGACCCATGCTCTGCAGCGGGTTGTTTGAGTGGAGTTGGCCCCTGCAACAAGACATGACGTGTACCCCCGTTGCAAGTTTTGTTGCCAGTCTGCAAGATACATATCCTGAGGCCGCGTCCGAGATGGCACGAGACGGGCGTCTAGGAAACGGAATCAGCGAGTCCGTGAGTCCGATGTCCCTTCCCATTTGGGACCAAACCAATTTGGACCCCAGCTGTGCCCAAGGCTTCAGTGCCCTTGAGGCCTTAAGGCCCAGCCCAAGGTAGCCGGCCCTTCGCCCCGCCGAAACTGATGGAAGCTCGACTTTGCTAGTTTCGTCTGCCCCAAAAGTGCACGCATAGCTTAGCTTTTGACTCACTGCGGGAAAATGAAGAAAGCCCTTCCCCAAAAGAGAAACGTTGGCGGGCACCGGGGACCTGTGCTTCCGAGCCGCTTCTCTTGACTGCTCCATATGTGTTGCAAGGAGCTAAGGAAAGGTGGCGGGGCCTGCGTCAAGTCGCAAACCAGAGCACAGAGCAACTGGCCCCAATTGCCAATTGGTTTGGCTTTGTGGCTTGGGGATATGAACCCCCTGGTTCTTCTAGGATCTTCTAGGCCTATGGGACCCCATTTTCTAGCCTTATCGCCCAACCGCACCAGTGAGGGAAGCTGACCTGAGCCCGAAACCCGGCTTCGGGTCAAAAATAGCAAGACTCGGACAACTGAGGCTTCCCGATCAGGGGTGGCTCCGAAAATGAACTTTGTTTTCTGCATGTTTTTCCGCAGATCGGCGTTTCGCGTGTGGAGGATCCCGGCTTAAACGGGATACCCTCAACCCAGGCGTTTTGTCATCCCCCAACTGGTTTGAACACCTGGGAGTCAAGCTGTCCCGTCCAAACATGGCCCCCTTGAAAACTGCCCGAATCCCAACGATACGTGCGACAGTCAGGGGTCCCCTGGAAGAAAGCGTCCCTTTCCACAATGCGACGGATCCTCAATTGGAGGCTTCAGTTCGGCACGTCCCTGGATATTCATTTTCAAGCATGGTACTTTAGTGCGTGCCACCAAAAAGCTTGGAGGTCTTAGTTCGGCCCCTGATTCTGTCCGGTCTTTCCTTTGAGGATGTGGGAAGTAAAGCCCCGTGCCTGCTTTTGGGCCAAATATTGTCTGGCCATGGAAAAGTTGAAAATACAAAGAACAAAACGGTGGAAGTCGCACCCACTAAAAAGAACTAGAGGGCGATTGGCCCGAAAGCATTTTTCCACAGGTGCTCATCCAGCCGCGGAGACACCTTTTTACATCGCTGCGGCGAGCGTGTCTGCGCGCGGCGATGCTCAGTGTGTATGGTCACATGAGAGCTCCATCTCATCATCCTACTTTCCTCTCGAACTGCGCCGCGCGATTTCTCACGAAAGTGGTCTGCGCAAGCTGCATTGTTCCAGGCTGCTGCGCGCAAGTTGCTCTCTGCAAGCTGCTGCGCGCAAGTGCTCTGTGCAAGTTGCTCTGCGCAAGTGCTCTGAGCAAGTTGCTCTGCGCAAGTGCTCTGCGCCAGTTGCTCCGCGCAAGCGCTTTGCGCATGTGCTCTGCGCAAGTTGGTCTGTGCAAGTTGCTCTGCGCCTGCTCTGTGCAAGTTGCTCTGCGCAAGTGCTCTGAGCAAGTTGCTCTGCGCAAGGGCTCTGCGCCAGTTGCTCCGTGCAAGCGCTTTGCGCATGTGCTCTGTGCAAGTTGGTCTGTGCAAGTTGCTCTGCGCAAGTGCTTTGTGCAATTGCTCTGTGCAAGTTGCTCTGCGCAAGTTGCTCTGCGCAAGTGACTCTGCGCAAGTTGCTCTGCGCAAGTGCTGCCGGAGCTGCGGGGGTGTGCTCCGCGTACTACGTTTGTACTTAAAAGTTGCGATTTTCCAGCCTGGGCTGCGGGAGCACGCTCCGCATACTACGTCTGTACTTAAAATTGCGATTTTCCACCCGGAGCTGCAGGAGCACGCTCCGCGTACTACGTTTGTGCTTAAAAGTTGCGATTTTCAAGCCGGAGCTGCGGGGGTGTGCTCCGCGTACTACGTTTGTACTTAAAAGTTGCGATTTTCCAGCCTAAGCTGCGGGAGCACGCTCCGCGCACTACGTCTGTACTTAAAAGTTACGATTTTCAGCCGGAGCTGCAGGAGCACGCTCCGCGTACTACGTTTGTACTTAAAAGCTGCGATGTTCAAGCCGGCTGCCGCGGACCAGGGGGGAATCGAACCCGCGACCGCGGGATTGCGAAAGCAGGCGCGCAAACCACGAGACAACTTCCAAAGGCCGTTTCGCGAGCAAGAATATTGCACGGCGCCACAGCGAGAGCGCTTCGACACGCACAATCTCCGCAGAGGGTTCGCCGAGACTAAAACAAATTCGCACGGCGCCACAGCGAGAGCGCTTCGACGCGCACGATCTCCGCAAAGGGTCGAGCGCGCACCGCAGAAATCGTAGAAAGCCCTCAGTTTTTGAACCTTGAGCAGAGGGTCGCGCGTGCATGCTAAAAATCGTAAAAACTCCGCAGTTTTCGAACCTCGACCACGCGAATCTCCGCGGAGAGGGTTGCGCGCGCATGCTAAAAATCGTAAAAAGTCCTCAGTTTTTGAACCTCGACCACGCGAATCTCCGCAGAGGGTCGCGCGCGGCCAGCAGAAATCGTAAAAAGTCCTCAGTTTTTGAACGTGAATCTCCGCAGAGGGTGTTGCGCGCATGCTAAAAATCGTAAAAAGTCCCCAGTTTTTGCACCTCGACCACGCGAATCTCCGCAGAGGGTCGCGCGCGGCCAGCAGAAATCGTAAAAAGTCCTCAGTTTTTGAACCTCGACCACGCGAATCTCCGCAGAGGGTCGCAATCCCGAGCGACGATCAAACTCCCGCCCCGGCGCCTTAGAAACCTAAACTAACTTACATAGCTGCTAACGCCGAAGCTCTAAGCTCTACCTAACCTTGGCTCTATGTAACTTGGCTCTATGTAACTTGGCTCTATGTAACTTGGCTCTATGTAACTTGGCTCTATGTAACTTGGCTCTATGTAACTTGGCTCTATGTAACTTGGCTCTATGTAACTTGGCTCTATGTAACTTGGCTCTATGTAACTTGGCTCTATGTAACTTGGCTCTATGTAACTTGGCTCTATGTAACTTGGCTCTATGTAACTTGGCTCTATGTAACTTGGCTCTATGTAACTTGGCTCTATGTAACTTGGCTCTATGTAACTTGGCTCTATGTAACTTGGCTCTATGTAACTTGGCTCTATGTAACTTGGCTCTATGTAACTTGGCTCTATGTAACTTGGCTCTATGTAACTTGGCTCTATGTAACTTGGCTCTATGTAACTTGGCTCTATGTAACTTGGCTCTATGTAACTTGGCTCTATGTAACTTGGCTCTATGTAACTTGGCTCTATGTAACTTGGCTCTATGTAACTTGGCTCTATGTAACTTGGCTCTATGTAACTTGGCTCTATGTAACTTGGCTCTATGTAACTTGGCTCTATGTAACTTGGCTCTATGTAACTTGGCTCTATGTAACTTGGCTCTATGTAACTTGGCTCTATGTAACTTGGCTCTATGTAACTTGGCTCTATGTAACTTGGCTCTATGTAACTTGGCTCTATGTAACTTGGCTCTATGTAACTTGGCTCTATGTAACTTGGCTCTATGTAACTTGTCCAAGGGCTCCGCACGGAAGAACCCTTCGCGATGCTTTCGGGAAAAAAGAGCCCCCGCAACGCGTGGCCATGGAAAAAGTTGAAACGGGGGGGGGTAAACATATGCAGTGGCCGCCTCGCTCTCCTTTGGGTCCACCGGTGCCTGCGTCGGGCAAAATGGATTTCGGAGCCCTTGGAGTTGGACGACTGGGAACATCGGTGACCCTTTTGGAAAATGGAATGGGCATAAAACCCATGTAGACCCGTGGAACCCATCTATTTCTAACTAAACGCTGGGAATCTCCCATATGGCTCCTTTCATGGTTTCGGGAAGTATGATAGCAAACTGAAATTCCCATCCTCTCAAGCCACTGCATTCGATGCACCCCTCCCTGGCACCCCAAACCCTAACAGGAATGCGCACACGTCCTAAGTTGCATGGAGTCACCAAAGCACGCAAGACACAACCCATTTGCTACTTGTTCCACCAGCTTTCGGGCCAACCTTGGGGTTGTCAGTTGACTCGCGCGCATGACACTGAAATGATTCACTCCCGTCTTCCTTTTCAACCAGTTGCTCAGCGAGCATAGGTAAATAGTTGGAAACCCCCTGCCAGGCTGGTGGGGAAAGATTCAGGTACCACTGAAAAGCTGAGCCAAGCACCTGTTGAAACACGTTTCTATTGTCTGGGCCTCCCTTAAGGTTCCAAAGTCAGTTGTTTCACCACATGTTGCAACCACACCTGCTTTTCAACCCCCCCCCCCCCAACTTTTTACACCAAGAACATGTTCAGATTGCATATTTCACTGAGAAACAAACAATCCATTCTTTTATTAGAATTCCCCCAACCCCTCCTCCACCTTGGCCCCCCCTCGCCTCCTCGCTGGTGTCTCCCTCCTCGATCGGGTCCCGCTCGCTGGGCGCGAAGCGCGGCGCCTGCGGCGCGTCCGCCCGCCGTTCGTTCTCCAAGCGCAGGGCCTCACAGCGCGCCGCCAGCTCCGACATCTCCGTCTCGTGCCTCCAAGAAATGGCGGTGGGTCAAATGGGCTCCCGAGTGATTCGGAGCAGTTCAAATGGCTGTGGGTCAAAAATAGGGTTACCCCAAAAATGGGTTGGGAAATGGAAACATGGACTAAAACCTGCTATTTTTTGGTGGCTTAGCTTTGCCCAAATAGAAAACCGCCCAAGCGGCCCAGCGGAAGCCTCTTCCTTGAAAGCTGCTCCGCAAACCAGAGCTTTGGACCCCATGAGTTGAACAAAGCACGGATGCGTTCAACACCTGGCCGCCTGCCTCCCACTCACTGGTCACACAGACTTTCTAAAGGATCGAAGGCCGTCACCCTTGGCAAAGTGTCTGGGCCTTTATGCCAAAAAGGCCGGGGCAAACTGAACCCGATCGACTCACAGAAGTCCTATGTCCCGTTTAGATCCGATCGGAGCCAAACGACCTTGGCCTTTCTCCCGGCTCCCGGGGGCCTGTCCAGGGCCCGGTACATCAAGTCCTTGCAGGACGGCATCCCCAGCTCGCTCCAGCCGCAGCTTGGGCATGCCATGGCGCTATCGACACGACGGCTCAAAGTGAGCGCCCCCGAAAAAACCGAAACCGCTGAGCTCTTGGTTTGTTTCGCCAAGGCTTTGGTTGCATCCCATGGGTCCTGAGGTGCCGTGGCATGTGCTTTTTTCTCCTTTCTGGGGGCAAACCAAGCCCATGCCATGCTTCTTGAGTCAGAGACCAGGGCGCAAGCAAGTTGCGTTGTCCGGCGACAACGCCACTTCCCAAAGGAAGCAATGCAAAGCACCCCGGGGTTTCGGCGATTCCCCAGGCAAGAATGAGAAAGAGAACCAAAAGCTTCAAAGCAGTTTGCACCTTCACTGGGGTAAACATAAGGGGGTTATCTTATTTGAGATATGCACCCAAACGCGTAAGTAACCCTTTAGCAGGCAAGACATTTCAGAACCACCCTTGTCTTCAACAAAATCTGGCCTCTTGAAGGCGCAAGCCGGCCACTTTTCGCCATTCGCGAAGCGCTTGCAACAAAAGTTTTGGTGACCCCAGCAGGCCCCCCGTGTCAACGAAATAAAGACGACCTGGGGACGTGCTTCAACCAAATATCATTTGCAACTGGGCGGTACCCATGTTTATATGTACACGTATCGCTGAAAAAAAGAAACTCTACATATGTATACGCAGGGATTTATAGGGGGTTCTGAGGAACAACTGGGCCTTCACTGGTGGCTTTCCAGTTGCCGAACTATTCGCGCCCGGAACCCCTCCATATCCTTCTCCAAAAGAACGGTAGTCCAAAAGCCTTTCTTTGGCTGGAATCTTGTATTCCGAAGGAACTCCCGGGCAGATGAAAAGACGGAACCCGAAAAAAAACACATCTCGCCTCCATTCCCAGAAAAGCTTCCCTTCGATGAAGGGACCCTCGGTTTGAGCTCCTTCGGTCCATCTGCCCTTCGGCGTCCTTCCGCCCTTCGGGCGGCGGAAGCGCCGGACTCGGAACTGGACGGGGCCGTCCTTTTGCCACGAAAGCTGGGCATACGCCGCAGGTCACCCCTTGACAGACCAACATGTAGCCCTTTCACCACCAAAACTACACTTTGAGCGACCTGCTCCAGACCATGTTTCCAATTACGACTTAAAAGGACAACCCCCGGAACATGAAAACATCGACGGGCGACCGGTCCCTTTGGGTGGTCGCATTGAAAAAGAGCCGCGTGCCCGAAACGTTGCCTGTGTGCTTTTGCAACCCTCACGCGACATGGCCGTCTCAAATGCTAAATGGACAGCCCGCCAAGAAATGAAAGAGCGTTTTGCCCAAGAAACGAAACTTTTGGTCCGCCACCGCAAATGATCTCCCCTCCCCAAAACAAAAATGGCAGTGGGTCAAAAATAGGTACCCAAAATGGAACCCTGGTACATAGAGACAAGGCCTAAAACCTGCGGTCCCCTGGTGGTTGAATTTTGACTCATACCCGATATTTCGAAAGTCCAACTTGCGGAGCGCAACGTCAGAGCCGAAGTCGGCCCTCTTCTTTCATCGCCTCCGGCGCCGCGCTCGCCGCGCTCGCCGCGTTCGCCGCTGACCCGAGCGCGGAGGTGAGGGCGGGCCAGAACCGCAGCTCCCAGGCCTGCGCTGCGTTCCCCCGTTGCCCGACTGCCTTCGCTTTGAAAAGAAACAGAAAGAGGACTCCACCACAAAAGAAAAGCAACACTCACATTGGGAACATATATGGGTTTACCCTCCAATTGTAGGCTTTCCACTCTTTTTCTTTTTTTTGCGAGGCATCCCCAAAATGGGGGGGAGATTTTGGGGACCGTTTTGGGGACCGTTTTGACGTCCGTTTCCTTGAGGGTGTCCGCGATCCGCGCGATGTGGAGCAGCTGCTTCTGCATGTCCAGCGCTGAAGCGTGGCCCTTCACCCCCATGCACGTCTCCACGAAACGCCCGATCTCCTCAAACCAAGAACAGAGCGCCCTGTGGATGATTCGTGTGGAAGGCGAAACAGCCTGGAAAAATTGTACATGCCACGAGTCTCAGCCCCAAGGTTGAATTTCAACTCTTCCTGTGAGAAAACACGTAAACATCCTGTTGGGCTTGAGCAAAAATCCAGTAAGAAACGCCGAAGAGTCGGGCAAGTCAACCTCCTGGTTAATCTGCAAGGAGGAAAACAACAATCTACTACACCCTCACACAAGAAAACATAGTATGGCCCTGCTTTGCCCACTCCAGGCTTGGGGAACAAGAACACGCTCGCACACACACACACACACACGCACACACACAAACAAACACACAGCACTGTGTAAACCTCCGTTTTGGTTTCCCGCTCAAGGGGACCAGAGGCTGGTTGTTAAAAGCCCTCGCGGACGCCCCATTTGGCCCCACGCAGGGGGCCTTTCTCCTGCGGGCCCCTCCACACATGCAGGTCCTCCAACAGGGGACTTCTCCTAATGTCCTTTCAAAGTTCCACGAAGGGCAGTCAGGTTCTGGAAAACCTGTTCCGGGCCCCTTTTTGTGTTCGGGTCGCCGAGGGAGAGAAGAAGAAAAAAAACACCAGCCGGGCCAAAGCGGCCAGTTCCCCCTCATCATCTGCCACCAGGTTGAACAAAACCTCCGCATCGCTCACTTCCAGGCCAATGCTCAGCATGTAGGACACGATGTCTGCGTCCTGCGAGACGCGCTCGCGCGCGCTGGCTGAGCTGGGTATCTGCCTCAAAATCCGGCGACCCGAAACATGGAGAACAGCTTAAGTTCATTTCATGTTGCTTGTTGAGTTTTCATGTGGGAGGGTACCTGAAAAGGATGCTACCTTTGGTTCTTGGAACGCTGGGAAGGAATGAGGAGAATACCTGTCATCGAACCAAAGAATGATCGCACCTGTTTGTCCGACCTGCGCTTCGACTGTTTTGGTCTCGGGGTGTTTCTCTCACAAGAGAGCCCTCCAACATGGACTAGTTTCCTCCTTGTCTCCCTTCTCCGCAGACCCCTACAAACCATCCCCTATGGCTTCCTTGGGAACCTTCCGGCTCATTCCCAACAACTTGGGCCATTCCCGAGTTGAGCCGCAAGTTTTTTGGGAAACAAGCCCCCCCCAAAAAAACAACTGTGAGACCTCCCTTCTCCAATTTTCCAATACCGCCGTCTCCTCGACGTCGATCCAGCAACCCCTTCCCCCCCCAGCCCAAGGCGCCCCCAGGCCCCTCCTTCATGCAGGCCACAAACTCCTCGAAGGAGATGCGGCCAGACTTATCCTCGACGCGCCCGGAGGAAAAAATCGCAACAAACACGTCCCGGGACTTCGTGTACTTAGTTGCTGCAACGACCCCCCTGCAAAAAGTTGGAAACTTTTTGGGGGTTTAGTGGAAAACCCAACTTGATTTCCCAAAAAGTCAAAGTCTAAAGATCCAACCCAATAGCAGTCAAGCGTACCCCTCGTACCTAACCTGTGGAAAGCTTGCCTGGACATTAGGAAAATGTGGCAAGCTAACATTTACAAAGCCTTCCCTTGGGGCAAGGTTGTCGAAAATAGGCGTGGGCCTCTTGTGGTACTGCGGCTTCTTTTTGCGCTGTTGGGGAGGTCCCAAAACCCGGCACAACATTTGCCAGCTCCCCAACCTTCTCTCTCAGAAAAAGCGATCACATGTGTTTGCCAGCAACAGCACCGGTCTGGTATTGCCTCTTCAAGATCTGCCCGCTTTCGGGCCTTGGAAGGCATTGGCCCAATGAGTTGCAGGCTGGAAACGCGCCATCCATTCCTTCGAGTGCTAGGACGTACCCATCTACGAATGCATATGTTCCTCAATCAAAACAAGCAAGGGCAAAACTGGGAAATTGGCTTGGGGCCACTGAGTCTTATAAGGCCTGCAAAGAAAAAAGACATCGAAACCTCCCGTTTGGATCGCCGATTTCACTGACTCAAACGCCCTGCAACAAGTGCGTTGAAGAGGAAGATGGAGGACACCCACCTAAATTACAAAAGGATTTTGGGCTTTTAGCTTCTGGTGTTCTGGCGTTCTGGGGTATAAGATCAGTCTCTGGCAACCCTGAAAGGCTGAAGTTCGCCCGTCTGAACCTTCAGACCTCGCGGCGGCTCCCCGAAACCCTGCTCTGGCAAGTCTTTTTTTTTCGAGGACCTCACGCCTGAGAGACTCATCTGATATGTATAAAGGGTATGCACCGAAGGGACACATGAAGGCCAAAAAACAGTTGCCATATCTTCCCTAGCCAAGATATAGAACCTCAAGAAAGAAGACATAGAGGTGATCAGCATGATGTGCAATGGTCAGGTGGGTTGTTGGGCTTACCTTTGGCTTCCCGGCATTCACTTCCGAAATGCGGCTCCCCCTGCGACTCGTGTCCACGGCACTTGCTTCCAAGGAGCTAAGTCCATCTTCATGAACAGCTCCCTCGCAGCGAAGGGAAGGGATTTTGGACCCGAAACCATACATGCGGTTTGGGAAAAATGCAGGGGGGATCTGTCAAGGGCCTATGCTAGAGAGAAAACTACCAAGGCCTAACCCCCATTATAAACTGAACACATAAAGGATGACCAAGATTTCTGTAAAACCAATAGCTACAACCTACCACCAAAAGAAACCGAAGAGACAGAGAGACTAACAAAAACAGAACATGCCCCGGGACGTGGGGGGAGGGACGCCAGGGGCACCTTTTCGGCCAAAAAGCAAGCCACCAGCCTTTGATGTGCCAAAAAAACACGGAGCCACGAAAAACATCGCGAGATGTCCGCGGTGGGCCTTTTGGGGGGAGGGGGGGGGAGGTTCCTCCCGCCCATCCACGCCATCCACTCCTAGGCCATCCTTTGCCCCCCGCGCGCCTCAGCTCCTCCGCCTGGGCCGCGAACTTCTTCCGCTGCTCCAGGATCTTCCGGTCCCGGTCAGGGCGCCCCGCCTCCGAGCGGAGCGGAAGATACCGCGGAGGGGGGGCGGGGGGAGGGGGGGGGGGGGGGGCGGGTCGTTGCATTTCGATTGCCTTCATTCTATCCCCCTTTTTTGGAGAAGAACAACACAGTTGAAAACAACCTGCGGCATTTCACTTGGAAAGCCCAACTGACAGAGGGACGTTGATGCCCC